ACTCCGACCTTCCAGAAGCTTTCCAGTTGGATTCCCACTGCCGGCCAAACCATTGGTTTTAGAATCCAGTTGAACCTGGTCCATGATCCTGCGTCTACTTCCTGGAAATGGTAAGGAGCAAAACAGAGGAATCACAAATAATGGTGACTGTGGGGTTTTCTTGTTGGCCTTCGCAGGATCTTTCATGACGATGAGGATGGTGGCGACCACGGACAGAACGCTGATACCGAGGAGACACGTTAGATACAATGTGACCATTGGGATGTTGTCGGACGATTTTGGAAGTAGCCCACTCACGATGCTCATGAATACAGTCAGAGCGAGAAGGCACGTGATGGCATACGAAACTTTCTCGCCACAGTCACACGGAAGTGAGAAGACGAATATGTTGAGAAATGAAAGCACAACAACAGGTATTATTACATTGAGGACAAAAAACATCGGTCGCCTTTCAAGATCAATGTCAACGTAAAAGAAAGAGAAGGTTGAATCTACGAAGGTTCTTTCAGTAGTGTATGCTCTGGAAGCTGAAAGAATCCATTCTCCATTTTCTGTGTACGCTTGGGTGCCTGCGCTGATGAGTGTTGAAACCATCTTCAGCTCATTTGAAAAATAGCTGACGGGTAGAAATCGGAACTGGCATGTCTGATCATCAAATGGAAATAATGTCAGATCGAGCTTGCAGTCAGTTGCAAAGTTTGCTCCAGGTAACCAAGTTACTCTGCCTTCGCTGTTAACTGTAATGGCGGATGTCTCGTCTTTGAAGACATCCCGATCCTCAAGAGACACTGGTACGATGAGTTTCGGTCTCCATATGTCAGTCAGTGGAGGGTGTATAAACTTTATGCCATTATAGTCCTCAGGTTTCCAGGTTAGAAACTCGTCCCGCCATGTTAGATTCATCAACACGTAGCTATGTAAGATCTGTCTGACCTGGTCTACTTCAGTTATGGCCACCAAGTTAAATCGGCTGTGAACGTCAACATGTTGACTCTGGTTGTATACTGGTCTCATTTTAGTGCTGTAGTTTCCAAACATGTCGCTGTATAGCCTCTTAATCGCCTCAATACTGCCTGCTGCAGATCTACACATAGCCAACAGCACCAGCACATACAGGAGCTTCATCTTCCTTCGTCCCCTTTGAATGCAATGAGGTGCTGATCCCCAGCTGTTTATTGAAAACTATCTACATTACGAATGAGACCAATTTGTTTGGTCCTGGTATATGATTGGACAAACAGGACAGAAAGCCAAACTGTTCAATAGCCATCGAGCTTCCACATGTCCATCAAACGCTTTCGCCTTTGTCGCTCAGTTATGTTGACATTTAAGCCAATATTCAATGGAACCGCATCGTGCACGCACAATCCTTTTTTGCACGAAATTGAATTAATGTATTCTCTTAAAACACATAATTTCTTAATTGTTGTTGCTGTTGTAAACTGTCCTAAGGGACTGGGAAACGAACAAACAGTTCAAGACAGAGGGATTGCTCTGTCAATCAACCATTGTATTGTATTTGCATAGTTAGTATCGATCACGTTATACTCCGATTGATTGAGTAGTGAACCGGCTGTCCAATTCCGGTCAAATAGCAAACTTACTGTTAGCCAGAAAGTAGGCCTCATTTATGTAGTGAATGTAGTTTTACGTGATGCACAGGCGTTTCTATCTGTATCACTGCGATTCCGTGCCTGGCAATCCTACTTCACAGCTCGAAGACTCCATCATGCAGACAATACTCTGTAGCCATGAGATCCTCTTACATCCGCGTGATACTTGTCACTTACTACCCTACACCTACATTGTAAAATGATAAGATATTACATAACATTTTGTTATATTTGATTTTGTGCCATAACAACAATACTTTCGTTGCTCTATCACATTGATTTACTGACACTGCAGATCAACAACAAGAGCTATTTTTTACCCAACTCTACAAGAGGATGAGTTGGCCCTCAAGGCAGGCGCAAGTTTCAAAACAGAATCTGGCATCACATACGGTTTGTCATCACAATAAAACACCATTGAAAACTGTACCCTAAAATAACTGGATCCTTTTTATGTATAACAGTACATTTCAGGAAATGCCACTTTTAGAGTATACGACATGGAGCAAATGATAAACTGAAGCATTTGAAGTGTCTAATGAACTAAGTCAGTATGTTTTTCTTTTCTCTTAATATGCAGATAAGGTCTAGATGATGGGCATTTATTTCCTTTTAACTGAAGGAATCAGTTATTATTAACATTCACCTTTCACCTTTTAGAACAATACAAACATGAGATGGTCTAGTTTCCGTAACAACTGAAGAACCCTCAGCCTGGTATGGGTTGAACGATGTGTTTTTGGCTGCCAGAGGGTTTGTCATCACCTTCCAATACATACACATGTTTCTCTAGTTTGGCATCTCGTACTATGTGCAGAAACAGGATGAATTAGTTGTTTACACAGATATGGTAAGAAGATGTCCTTCATGACAGAATTACATCCACATCGCAGTATAGCCATAGTGCAAAGATATTTTTGAATAAAATCTTCATACTGCCCACAATAGGTAAATGTGCAAACAGGGAATCACTATATTTAAGTATATACTCTAACGGGAAAAAGTAACAGTGCATAATATCAAATTATATAAAAGCTATTTGAAAAGTATAAAGATATCCCTAAATAAAAATGCAGCAAGGCAGTTTGCATGAAATTTGATGTCACATATCGTGGGTGGCACGTGTACTTTGTGCACAACGAACTTACTCACATCTTGCATGCTTTTGACTCCTGAAGTTCACACACCTGATATTGCAAATTGAATTCAAATTGGTTGATAATTTTCTAGCCTCTGAATGTTGAGGAAAACTTCAACCTATACTGCGCGTACTGTCATGCCTCGGCTTACAGAAAGTCAGCGTCTCCGCGCCGTGGGTATGTTGGAGAATGGTCTGGTCCAAAATGAAGTGGCCAGACATTTTAGTATTCAACAAAACACGACATCATCTCTGAGATATTGTCAGTATAATGGGAACACGACAGATTTGCCTCGGACCGGCCATCCACGCGGGACGTCACATCAGCAAGACAACCACATTCGACTGACCCATCTAAAGAATCGATTCCAGACTGTCAGTTTGGGAATGCAGCACATCTCATGGTCGGACACAACTTGTCATTGTCAATGGCAATCTGCGATACAGGGATGTACTCATTGGGCCTCATGTACAGCCGTTCATTCAAAGACAGAGACGTAACTTCACGCTTCAACAAAACAAAATTCCCGAACACATGTCGCTCGTGTTTTGACTGAACGTTTGGTACTTTCATGGAGCCGTCTCCTAACGAGCATGCTTGAGATGAAATGGAGCGAGGTTTACGTCAAGCCTAGAAATGACGTCAGCTGAATTGGGACACGTGTTGGTTCAAACATAGAATATCATTTCCCAAGGTGAGTGTGGGTTATGCATCGTCATTGTCAAGGCTGCATCAACGCCAATCGTGGACACACACGATGTTGAATTTGTGACTTGACTTCTGACACCACATCTCTTCAAAGGCGTTTTACGATGTCTAGAGTCAAATCATGCAGATTTCGATATTATCTTGTCAAAAGTTAAACACTGGTTAAGGAAAACACTACAAATGATGTAATTATCTTTTTGCATTAAAAATGACATGAAATCCAATAATGCAAAATTACTTTATTCCAGTAGTATATATTGAAACTGTGTTCCCAAACACAGATGTAGCCACAGTAATTAGTATAAAGTATCAAACATTTGCACGTGTTACATTTGGAATGGGCAAGTCTAAACACGTTTGTGAAAAGCATCTCGATAAATTGCGTGGAGCTCATAAATGTCTAAAACTGCCGTCGTTCTACGAAGGTAACTTGATTCATGTTTGATCATTCTAAAATTACACAGGTAATGAACCACATCATTCCACGACTCACGACTGGATGTGCCAACGTCAGGTGGCTGTGTCACTGTACAGACGTTTTCAAAACAATAATGACGTTGCCGGTCGCCCACGTGCAGGACGTCCACACGTCACAACGCCAAGAAAGAACAATACGGGTGTCCCATCTCCGGCCAAGGTTCCAGACTGCAGTGACCACTACTCAGACCATCCTAGGACTTCGGCGGAACGCAGCCAGGAACCACTTACGTCATTACGGGTTACGACCACGTCGTCCCGTACTTACAGCCTGTCCTGACGCAACGTCATTGAGAAAATTGCCAAGTTAAGCCAAAATCATGACTGTCAACCTCGGTTGTGGTGGACGTTGTTTCTACAGAAGTGTCCGTATTTATCATTTCCCATAATGACGAATGCCAACGTGTTTCCAGACGTGGTGTGGACTATATAGATTGATCCGATTTTCGAACCACTATTCTATTTTGTCAACGTTACGACAAACCTTTTGAGATTTCGACCGGATAATGCTTGTCCTGACAGGCCTAGTGTTACTTTTGCTTTTCCTGAACCGCACAATATTTACGTAATGTCTTTGCCTGCAAATGTTCCGGATCTCATCCCTATAGAGAATGTGAGGGATGAAATGTAGCTATGTTTACACCATACCAAATCCGCAAGATAACGTTCGTGGATCGCATATAATATGGTAAGCCCTTTCTCAGGCTTCCGTGACCATTTGATAGACACTATGCGCCGTCGATGTACGACTGCACTGTATGTTGGACATACCCCAAATTTGTGAGATTGTTGTTTGATCCCTGCCCCGCATTAGGACGTATTTCATGGACATGAAACATGCTGTTCTGCCATCTTTGTATAATGTTAATATCCGTTGATCAAAGTGTGCATTGTAACTTTTCATTGCTGTTATGTTTCCAAATCTAGAAAGAATATAAAAAATGAATAGCTTTGTTTAGTATATGATGATCCATCAGGATATTCTTGAACTGTTACTTAAGTACAACTGTTACAGGTAGTTTAAGGCTTTACTATATTGGCACAAAGTCATGAGAAAATTCCTTTATTGTGCTATCTGGATGAGGAATCCCACAGAAACAACCATCCAGAGAATTGTGAATATAACCATACACAGAGAGGCAGCAGTTTGACTTTGACCTTCTAGAACCTTTCCAGTTGGATTCCCATTGCCAGCCGAACCATCGGTTTTAGAATCCAGTTGAACCTGGTCCATGATCCTGCGTCTACTTCCTGGAAATCGAAAGGAGCAAAAACGAGGAATTACAAACAATGGCGATTGCGGGATTTTCTTGTTGGCCTTCGCAGGATCTTTCATGACGATGAGGATGGTGGCGACCACGGACAGAACGCTGATACCGAGGAGACACGTTAGATACAGGGTGACAATTGGGATGTTGTCGGATGATTTTGGAAGTAGGTCACTGACGACACTCATGAATACAGTCAGAGCGAGAAGGCACGTGATGGCATACGAAACTTTCTCGCCACAGTCACGCGGAAGTGAGAAGACGAATACGTTGAGAAATGAAAGCACAACAACAGGTATTATTACATTGAGGACAAAGAACATCGGTCGCCTTTCAAGGTCAATGTCAACGTAAAGGAAAGAGTAAGTGGAATCTACGAAGGTTCTTTCAGTAATGTATGCTCTGGAAGCTGAAATACTCCGTTCTCCGTTTTCTGTGTACGCTTGGGTGTTGGCACTAACCAGCGATGAAACCATCTTCGGCTCATTTGAATCATAGCTGACAGGTAGAAGCTGGTACTAGCATGTCTGAACATCAAATGGAAATAAAGTCAGATCTAACTTGCAGTCAGTTGCAAAGTTTGCCCCAGGAAACCAAGTTACTCTGCTGTCGCTGTAAACTGTAACAGAGGCTGTCTCGTCTTTGAAGACATCCCGATCCTCAACAGGCACTGGTACGATGAGTTTCGGTCTCCAAATGTCAGTCAGTGGAGGGTGCATAAACTTTATGCCGCTATAATCCTCAGGTTTCCAGGTGAGAAACTCGTCCCGCCATGTTATATTCATCAACACGTTGCTATGGAGAATCTGTCTGATCTGGTCTACTTCAGTTATGGCCACCAAGTTGAATCTGCTGTGAACGTCAACATGCTGACTCTGGTTGTATACTGGTCTGATTTTAGTGTTGTAGTTTCCAAACAGGTCGCTGTACAGTCTCTTCATCGCCTCAATACTGCCTGCTGCAGATCTACACAGGGCCAACAGCATCAGCACATGCAGGAGCTTCAAATTTTTGTCGTCTGTGATGGTAATGAGGCACTGATCAGCAGCTATATATTAAATACGTTCCACATTTTCCGTAGGAGAACCACCACACACGTGAGAACAATTGTTCAGTATGGATGTTTGGATAAACAAAACAGATAGCCAAACTATTTAATCGCCACCGAGCTTCATTTCATCCATCAAACACTTTTGCTTTTGTCATTCAGCAAGCTATCTTGACAATTAGACCGATATCCACGCACAATGCTTTCCCTCACGAAACTGAATTAATGGCATTGTTTACACATCAATATTGACGGTTATATAGAACAGAATTATCCTTACCCGAATTACCAATACTCGATACGTTTTGAAGTTTAACATTGTGCCTGCTATAAGATATAAGGTACAAAGTTATGTTTTTGTCTTCGTGAAACACTATTTCTCTTAACTGCTGTTGCTGTTGTAGAAACGTCTAAAGTGAGTTGGAAACCGACAAACATTTCATCTCCAGATAGATGGAGTGCTCTGTCAATTAATCATTTGATTGTATTTACATAGTAAATATCGATCACATTATACTCTGACTGCATGAATATGGAAACGGCTGTCCAATCCGCTCACCGTGCTTACTGTTGGCCAGACAGTAGGCCTCATGGAGCGTATGTTGTTTAACGTGGTGCACTGGCGTTTCTATCTGTATCATTGCAATTCCAACCCTGACAAATCGTACAGTCGGGCACGATGCTTCCACCATACAGGCAATACAATGCCCCATACAAACGTGTATTTTCGTTGCGCTATCACATTGACTGACTGAAACTGCAGATCAACAGCAGAAGGTATTTTTATCCAACTCTACAGGAGGAAGAGTAGGCCCTCAAGGTGGTAGTCATTCAGTTTCAATTCAGTGATGCAGTATGTGTATGTGTGTGTGTTTATGTGTATGTGTGTGTGTATGTATATGTGTGTGTATGCATATGTGTGTGTATGTATATGTATATGTGTGTATGTATATGTATATGTGTGTGTTTATGTGTATGTATATATGTGTGTATGTATATGTGTGTGTATGTATATATATGTGTGTGTATATGTATGTGTGTGTATGTGTATGTGTATGTGTATGTGTGTGTTTTGGTTAACAATATATTTTTTCTCCGCTGTTCTTGACCACAAACTGTTTAACCCAAGCTGTATCAAACAGGCTATTTATCAACTAAGCACCATCAAACAATGAAATGGTTGATCCCTTATGATGAAAGAAATGACTATAATCAGCAACTTTTCAGCCTCAAATACAATGAAAAGTTTTCAGTCATTACAAATGACCGTCCGATCCACTTGCAATATGCTCTTGCTTTAGTAATATTATAGTAGTTTGTCAACTCTTGCTGGACAACTTCAAGACTCAATTGTCTTTATTGAAATACGATTTAAAAATGAGGTCTTTTATCACAAGAATTATAGCATTTAAAGGGTCATTGTTTTTAGTAGGAAATCCCAAAATAACATTTTCTTTATTGAAAGATTTTCTAGTTTCTGCGACATTATTTATCCAATGTTGAATATCTGTCCATAAAAAGTTGACATGTTTACAATACCAGAATAGGTGGCTGATATCACAATCTAATTCTTTACATTTAGTGCACACTGGGGACTGTTTATATCCCATCTTGAAGAGATATTTTTCAACAGGAAGGACTCTATTTATCACTCTGTACTTGAGCCACCATAATAACCTAATAATACGTTATAGAAGTGTTTTGATCCCTCTACACCCAATTTGATATGACAGATATTATATGGTAAAATCGGCTGACATAATGGCAAAGCCCTTTCTTCAACATGTTTGTTCAAATTAACCTTCAAAGCATTTCTAAGTCCATAAAAAAATAGTGTTTTGCATTTAATATTATACATATTTCTGACTGACTGAGTTTAGTTTAACGCCGCTTTTAGCAATATTCCAGCAATATCACAGCGGGGGACACCAGAAATGGGCTTAACACAGTGTGCCCATGTGGGGAATCGAACCCGGGTCTTCGGCGTGACGAGCCAACGCTTTAACCACTGGGATTACACCTCCCGCAAGAAGAACATCTTTCCAAAATGTATTACTAATTTTTGATAATACATAATCTTTAATATACACTGCATCCATTTCAAAAATGTTACTGGGTATGACATTTGATTCATAGAGAAAGGTAACATAACTATTTTGTAAATTCAAAATTCTTTTAGCCCAAGAAGGTTTTTGAGCATATATATAATCTGTTATACTAGGAACTTTAATACCACCATCTGGAATATTGCAAATAATTCTTTCCCTTTTAATTTTGTCTGGTTTATCATTCCATATAAATTGGAAACATTTTGCCTGAAAGTTATTAATAATAGCATTTCCTGGGGTTGGTATCTTTGCAAAAAGATGATTTAGTTTTGGTATCAACATGGATTTTAATATAGTATTTCTTCCCAGAGGTGTTAAAATTCTACACTTCCATAGTCTCAATAGGTTATCTATCTCTTTAAATTTCACTTCATAATTATCATGTATCATATTTTCTAAAGATACATCGAAGTGAATGCCGAGCAGTTTAAAGGATTCCGCCCAAACTGCTTTGCAATTTTTGCATATTTTCAGTCTACTGCGGTTTTTTTATTCAATCCAAATCAACCTATTTGTCTTATCGATATTTACTTTCAGTCCCGAGAACCTAGCGAAAAGGGTGAGTGAGTGAGTGAGTTAATATTTAACGTCACATCGGCAATATTTCAGCCATATCGTGACGAGAACAGTTGACATTTAAATAGAATATATATACAGAGATTATAAAAACCTGCCGACGAAGGACAGTAAAACAACTAGAATATCACAGATATACATGTAAAACTAGTAATTAAATCTAAAACATTTTAACTTTAGGGGACATCACAATATAAAAATAGGCAATAGATCGCCAACAACTGAAGGTAGATGACCATACTAGGAACCATGGGGACTTATATTACTTTTGCTACCTGTATGGACCCTAGCTGGATTTACACCATCCCTTCAGCCATTGACGACAGAAGAGAAATCTAGCCATAAATTAAAAGCACACATATTCTACGATTAAAAACCTGGTACACTTAAATTGACTAAATGGACAATAATTTTACAATACTTCAACCCCCGTTGAGGGTACAGCCACTAACAATCTCAGTTACTAATTCAAACTACCAATAATAAAATATATATCTATTTACAAATCACTTAACAAATCTAATTCTTTTAAAAATGCAATAATTAAATGAGAACTAACATTAAAAAGATCCTTCATAGTGTTTACTTTGAAATAATTATCCCTTGTGATGGTATATTCAATGCAGTCAAGCAAGACATGCTTGACTGTGATTCTTTCACACAAGGGATGCAAAACGGAGGATCTTCGCTTTAAGCAAATATTCATGGGTATACCTTGTATGGCCAATGCGACATCGCCGCATAATGACCTCTTCAAATCTGGACTGACAACCCAAGTAGGTGTAACCAATGTAGGGTTTTATTGCATGTAATTTATTAACACCTACTTGGGTGTCCCACTTCTTCTGCATCAGATCACGGATGTAGGTTCTAATGCTAGCTTTGTAATCAGAGTATGGAATAAGAAGTGGTGTCACAGATTTGTTGAGTGCTGCCTTAGCAGCAAGATCGGCCATTGTATTCCCGGAAATGCCAACGTGGCTGGGTAACCAACAAAAGACGATGTCGCATTGGCCAGTAGCAAGCTCATTATACAATTCAATAATGTCTAATAAAAGTGGATGTTTACAAGAAATATTTTTAATAGCCTGAAGACACGAAAGAGAATCAGAAAAGATAATGTATTGTTTATATTTACGGTGTTTATTTATATATTTAAGAGCTGTTAATATGGCGTTAGCTTCTGCTGTGAAAATAGAGCTGTTATTTGGTAGTCGAGAAGATATTGTTTTGGCCACCGCGCCACCATCCTTGGATCCATCTGTAAATAAGGATTTGTAGGTATTATACTTTAGTTTTAATTGATTATAGTCTTGTTTATATTGTAAGTCATTAGTTTCAGATTTTTTGTCAGAGTTAGGTCAACTTCAGGCCTAACCAGTTGCCAAGGAGGAGAAGAAAGAAGACGAGAAGGAGATATATTCTCCAGCTCAATGCCGGCAGCAGACAGGAATGGCTTAATTCTGTGCCCAAGAGGCGGAACAAGAGAAGGTTTTTTGTTGTATAAATCCTCATAGAGGGGATGAAAGACACAGTTATATGCAGGGTTAGACTCATTAGAATATAGTTTTGTAATATATTGTAAAGATAATTTTCTACGGCGTTGTGCAAGAGATGGCTCATCTGCCTCGACGTAGAGACTGTCAACAGGAGAAGTTCGAAAGGACCCAAGACAAAGTCTCAGACCTTGGTGGTGGACAGAATCAAGTAGTTTTAGATTGCTTTTGCAGGCTCCACCATATACGATGGAGCCATAATCAAGTTTCGAGCGGACCAATGATCGATATAGGTGGAGGAGGGTAGTTTGATCCCCTTCCCACTTTGAGTTGGAAACAACTTTCAACAAGTCAAGTGCCTTCAGGCATTTAGTTTTTAGGGATTTAATATGCGGAAGAAAGGTTAAATGGGAGTCAAAACTTAAACCCAAGAACTTGGCCTCCTTCACAACTTTGATGGGTGTGCCATTTAAAGATAGTTCAGGGTCTTTATGCGGTTTGTATTTACGGCAGAAATGTATACAATTAGTTTTGGATTTCGAAAATTTAAAGCCGTTTTCCAGACACCATTTATTTATCTTGTTTAAACACAATTGCAGTTGTCGTTCGATAGTATGCATATTTTTACCACGACAAGACATATAAAAATCATCCACAAAAAGTGATCCATCTATTGAATCATTTAAAACCTTGGATAAACTGTTGATCTTGATACTAAACAATGTGACAGACAAAATACTGCCTTGTGGGACACCCTGATCCTGATTGTAATGATCAGACAGGGTAGATCCCACGCGGACTTGAAATTGTCTAGCAATAAATTGAGGCAAACGGCCTCGCAATCCGAAGCCATGTAAATCTTTTAAAATTCCATATTTCCACGTAGTGTCATCGTCCTTCTCAAGATTAAAAAAGATAGACACAGCGTGTTGTTTATTAATGAGTGCGTTTTTAACAAATGATTCCAAACGCACTAGGTGATCGACAGTACTTCTGTTTTTGCGGAAACCACATTGTATATCTGTTATAAGGTTATTAGTTTCCAAGTACCAAACAAGTCGATTATTAATCATGCGTTCCATGGTTTTGCAAACACAGCTAGTCAGTGAAATAGGTCGGTAATTTGACGGATCTGTATGATCACGTCCTGGTTTAGGTATTGGTACAACTATAGCGTCCCGCCATGAGGAAGGGAATTCCCCTGACGTCCAAATATCATCAAAAATATGTAATAGCGTTTCTAAACATGATTCCGGTAAGTGCTTCAGGAGTTGATAATGTATGTTATCAGCTCCTGCAGCAGTATCGTGAGCTTGATCAAGAGCAGTATGGAGTTCATGAATAGAAAATGTTTCATTATAATCTTCCCCATTATCTGAATGGAAATTAATAGTTTTCTTTTCTTCTTGTTTTTGATATTGTAGGAATTTAGGCACATAATTAGAAGAGGAAGAGTGTTTA